CTAATAACAAATAAAATCCAACTCGGTATATTTAAGATTACAAATATATAAATTTAGTTAATTAACAAAACAGTTGATATAATAACAATTAATTTTTTAATTTCTGTTATTTATAAAATTTAAATACTAGATTTGTTAAGAGTTAAATCTTTTGGTATAGTTTGTAATATGATGTTGAAGTTAAATATTATATAGTTAATAATAAAGTAGTATGCTAATAGAAATTGTATAACTAAGTTTGGATTTGCTTTTAACAAGTCCAATATAGTTGATAAAAATTTTATTACATATGTTCTAACTAAAAATAATATTATAAATGCAGTATTTAATTGTAGAGATAATAACTATATTAATAAGATATTGTATATATATATTAGTAATTTTTTAGTATTTGCAATTTTATCAAGATGTGATATATTATTATTAGTTATTAGCATAGATATATTATAGTATATAGTAGTTAGATAAAAAGAATTTTTAATTGATTATTGAAACAGTAACACAGTTACATAATATTGAGTAACATTTGTAATATCCCTATTGTCATATAAATCTTAAGTACTTTTATACAAGTCTTATATATTCTAGTACAAAATTACTATACTAAATATTATAATACAAGAATCTTAAGTATCTCTCATATAATTTTCAAGTATTCTTGTATAATCTTCAAATATCTTTATACAATTTCAGATGTTCTAGCACAAACCCAAATACCTTAACATATGCTTTAAGTGTTTTAAATACAAGTGACAAATATTTATAAACATTATTCCAACTATTACTTCACTTATTATTATACAAATCTCTACTACTTCAATTAGATAAAAAGATATATAATAATTTCTATAATTAAAATAATCATTATGTTATTAATAAAAGTTAATCTATATACTGTTATTATCTCAAACTATTTGTTTGCTGCTATGTAATAAATAAACTATTATATCTCTATTCTGTATATATTTGCAATAGTTAATTACTATATCAGATAACTTTGTTACTTAGTTATATATATATATTTTTTTTTGAACTTTGGCAACAATACCAGTTGGTTTTTATTAGCCTTAATTTGATATAGTACAAATTTATAGTTACATTTTTAGGATCGATTATTACTAGTACTATATACTATCTAATTTCATACTACTGACTTTACCTAGTTACCCTTATGGCACTTAAGTGCATGTCTGCTATATGCCTGCATGCAGTTATCTTGGCAACTACTTGCAGTCATGGCATACATTAAATCGCTATACAGACAAGGATACTTACCAAACTTAATGCAGCATCCCAAATGCCAGAAGTACTGTTTTCTGTAAATCATACCTATATGTCCCACTCACATGTTTTATCTGGTCTTGTTTCTTCTGCCTCTTAATCTAACTATATCTAGTATTACCTTGTTCTCCACTTTTCCCACCTTTTCGTCACTGTATCACTCCCAAATTGGTCCTACTCAGATATGTCTGATCCTTATGATCTTCCCATCTTTGGTTTGCCTGTTATTGATTTCTTTAAGGTGTTCTGACAATGGTTTAAGATCTGCAATGAACCCATATCTTAAGCCAGATTTGCTACTGCCATTGGTCTTTTTAACCAATCTGTATTTTAAGCCAAACCTGCTGCCACCATTTCTGCAGATGCCCTAGGTCTTAACATCATACAGTAACTTGATGTTGCATTTAACCTCCAACATGGTGCTTCCTTTTATGATAGAGACTGGAACTTGTTGTACTTACAAACAGGACAATTCTGATTATACTTAGGAAGTTCCTCTGACTCTAGTGATACTATACTACCATGTATTGCAAGCTTCTAGCTTATTCGATAATACCTGCAGAACAATTCTGATTATGCCCAGGGAGTTATAGCAACTCCAGTGATGCCATACTACCTTGCAGATTTTATCTTATATTGGTTGGTTGATCTCTAGTCTTGTTCATCATAGACTTCCATATAGGTATAACCAGAACCTGATTTGGTACTTTTACATTGTACAAAGAAGTTATACGTCTATTTCCAAAATCTTCTCTTCTATAATTAGATTATTCAGCTATGCCAGAGGTGCTTCCAATTTTGGTTAGACCAATCCTTTATCACAGTCCATCCTCATGTTCACTGCTTCTCTCACCATTCCAGTCTTAGTTACTTATCAGACTACTCTCCCAATCAAATCCTCTTCTTGAATCCCAATTAAGACTTATTTGCACAATTCGTTGATTATCTTTTTAAGCAAGTACCTCACAAGTTAGATGCAGGGATGTTAGTACTGCCTATATTGAGAGGTATAAGGATGTTGGTGTTGTCCTAGCCTAAAGAACTTACATGTGCGATCTTTTCATAACTGTAACCTTCTGTAACAACCATTTGTTATGCATAGTGCCTCCACTCCATAATTGGGTCTTCTTCTGGGAATTTCTATTTCTATCATTGTACTGCACTTGGACTTTTAACTACAAGGCTCTATGTTCAATTACAGACTCTTTATTAGGTTACAGAAGCTAAAATCTTTCAATTTTGCCTCCAGCCAGACTTGAACTGTTGACCTTGACTGTGGAGAGTATGGGAGCTTAACTGCTAAGCTATGGGACCCACACTCTATCTGTTTTCTATTGATCAGTTGGAATAAAATATTTGTAACCATGATTATATTAGCATAACTTGCAAGTTATAAGTTAGCTGTATGATTTTAGTTATATAGAAGAATACAAATTAATATCAGGTAATACAAATCTAAGATAAATCATTATAAATTTATAAATTTATAAAATTAGAAAAACAAAAAATCTATTTGAAAAAATCTAATTAAAAAAATAATATAAATTTTTAATAATACTACTATAAAGACTAAATTTAAGAAATAAATATCAATATAAAAGAATTAAGTAGCCAAAAATCTTTAGATAAGAGACAAATTTAAACCAAAAAAAAGATTAAGTTAATCTTAATATATCAAGAACAGATTAAAATCCTATTAGATTATTTAAATTAGAAATCTGAAGATAAAATAAAAATATACTAAAATATTAGAAATATACTGTAAAATTGATACTAAGTTTTAGATAAATTCTGTAAAAACATAATTCTGTTAATAGTCTATAGAGTAAATATGTTAGTTAACAGAAATTTATTCTAAGCCTTACAATTAACTAATATGCTTTAAAACAAGTATTAACTTGTTGATTATACAGAAAAAAAAACCAAATATTGAGTTAAATAGTACTTAAATATATAGAAACTAGTGCATTATTCATTGCTATACTATAAAAATTACAATATTTAAATAAGTAATCTTTTGGCAAATTACAGGTATAACAACTAATATAGAACCTGCAAACAGACTACTTAAATAGTAAACAAAAGTTGCATATATAACTAGTTGTACATTTTTCTTATATATGTATATATAATTAAAAAAAAAACAAAAAAAATAATAGTTCTATTAAACAATAAAATAATAAAACTCTTTCTAACAATCACTTGAACCAAACTTTTCAAAAAGCTAAACTACAGAAAAATAATATAGTTAATATATTAAACTTTATGAAACCCTTTTTAGAATACTGTACATACATTATTAAACATTGAAATAGAATCAAAAAAGAGTCACAGTTTTGTGGTAATAGTTTAAAGAGCACTCTGGGACTATAAAAGAAATAATCAATGAAAGCCAAGATTTTTTATTAAGTAAACAACAAAGTTGGATATATTAGTTCTATACAATTGTAAAATCTATAAGAAACACCTATAAGGATTCAGAACTCACAAAAACTAAAAGTTGGTTCATCTAATACTTCTACTTTTTTTTAAGAAAAATTTTGTAAAAGTGGGCAATTTAGTTTATCTTCTCTTAAAGATAAATTATCAAAACAGTCAGTAGTATTTACTTTTTAAATAAAGTAATTGATGATATGGATCAAAAATAATACATTAATACAAATATGATTATATATATGTCTTGAGCTGCTAGAAACCTGTTAAACACTACATCTAGACTAACCAGTATTCTATACCAACCCTCTACAATAAAATCAAAGTTTTTTTTTTTTAGTTTTTTGTTTAAATAATCTAAATAAATAGGAAGATAGTAAAGTAATTTCTATTTAGTATAGTTTATAATTTTTACAAGCCTGATGCAGATTTATAATTGTAATTGTTTGATATCTGTGAATTGTAAGTTTTATACTCAACACAGACTTAAAATCATAATTGTCTAATTTTTGTAAATTACAAGTTTCATATTTTTCTTTTTTCTCATTTATCTTCTTTTTCTCTTTTATTTCTTGTTTTGTATCTTTTATTATTTACTTCTATACCTTTGTTATTTTTTACATATAAAATCTTTTTTTGGTTTTTTGTTTTCCTATAAGAAAACATTATCAGATTGATGATATCCTATTGTAGGGTAGCAGTCAGATGAGCAGTCTATCTCTGTTTGGGGTAATGCAACAGGTTGCACTTAGGTACCAATAAAATGACCAGATGATACTAAATTTAAGTATTAGAAAAATTCTCTATAATTGTATAGTTTCAAAAATTCTAATAAAGTACTAACATAACTGCTTAAGTTAAAAAAAAAAATAGTTCTATTGACATTAATCTTAAAAGCAAAAAAAAAATATAAAATAAATAAAATTAATAAAATTCTTTTATTTAAATTCTTATATTTATAGAATTTAATAAATAAAAAAAATTTATCAAATTTGATCTAATAGTTGTTGATTAAATATACAATAAGTATTAAGTATAAGAACTATAAATATGAGCTTTTTATAATCATTTTACTATAATCCTAACAAAGATAAAATAATAATCCTAAATAAAAATATACTTTAAACAAAAGTAATAAGAAAAATAAAATAACAACTTTAAACTAAACAAATAATAATCAAATATAAGATTATTATAAAAATTACAACCGGTTTATATTCATTAATGCAATCTATAAAATGCAATATTTACATTCAAAAATTTTAAAAAAATGCAAGATATCTGCTTTATTTTCTAAATATTATCTCATCAAACTCGATTTTAAACTTTTTTAATATTTCTATTCTATGTTGAACTTCTTGATCAACATCCATGAAACACTGAGGCATCTTAACCAATTCGAACATCCCTTCACCAAAATTCTTCGATGTATATTTAATCCAATTATTAATCATTACTAGTTTTTTACTTTTGATTATTGCATCTGAAATATCAATCTTTTTTTGAGTATTTATCTTCCAATCTTCAAAAAACACATACCCACTTAAATGATGGATCGCTAACCAATACATGAATGGTGTTTTTTCGCATGTGACCTTACAATGAATAACTGCACCAACATATGCTTGTAATATAGCTGCGTTAGTTTCTATGGGCCAAAAGTATGAATTTAATGGCTCCAAACATATCATATCATTATAATTAATTCTAATGGTTCCCAGAATATCGTATAAATCACTCCATACAAGATATCTGAAGTCAATAGGGTAGGTGAAAGATATTGGTAGAATTAACAATTGCGCAAAGGTTTTATTACCATATGACCCAGCAGCATATGAAGCTGAAAAATCTGTGAAAAATTGATAAAATGGTACTTCAAGAACTCCTGTTGTATCTTCCACAAATTGTTTAATAAATTTAGTATTATTTCCAGAAGATTGTTGAAAAGTGAATGACGAAATAATTTTTTCAATCAATTGTTCAATGTCAGGTGTTCTATATATTTCACCATCTAACATGAAGATTTTCATAATAGATATTATAATTGTAACAGGATCCATAATAAAGTTTGCAATTGAAAAATCTTTAATGTTCTTGCACATTTTTATCACTTCACACACCAAAATTAAACAATTACGAACGATTTCAGTTCGAACTTCATCGTCCATTGCCAAATCTGGTTTCTTGGAATAGAGAACATTAATTGGTGTCCATATCCAACTTTTTAACAATGGTAGTCCGTCTGAAGTTCCGTAATCCCACAATAAAGTATTATTCTCTTGATGATCACTATTATTTGTAACAATTCGACGTTCATAAAATGACTTGAGTGTATTAATGCTCTCCTTAATAGCAGCGTCAGGTGATTTTGAATATATTCCTTCCATTATTCGACCCAGAATATCCAGAGCTATTTTTTCATCACCCGATAAAATATTGGGCATTATTATTAAAGCTTCATGTAATAAACTCGTTAAATATTGTACTTTTATTTCATCTGTTTTTGTACTATCACTAAGCATGCTTACAACAATCATCCATTCGTAAAGCAAATAAGTGCACGGTTTGTTGAAAAAATCAAGCCAATCACCTTTTGCTGGATTTTTTACTGTATGTAGTAGTAATGGTTCAATTGATATACTTGATTTGATCACTTCCAACGTTTTGAGCGAAAAGTTATTGTCGTTAGAAAGTAATTTGCACATCTGATAAACCAAAGAAATATATGACAAGTATGTATCACATATTATTGAGATTGAAAGGGTTTCAGAAATATACTCGTAAGTGGATGGATGATATGCACCCGACAAATTTGATATTTGCCAAATATCATCTCTTGATATCTTTTGCATTTTTTGTATCTGATTAGTTAATTGATCCCGCAAATAATTGCAAAGGTTAGACGAAGGCCAATCTGTAAGGCACAATTTTTCCCAAATCCTCAATATTTCACTAGTATCTTTTAATTGATGCTCGCCTAAATATTTACACCACGCAGAAATATATCTTGTAATACTCGAAACTAAATTTAAGGCTTTTTCATAATCTTCGCGAATATCCATATTTTGTGATAAAAGAGAGGATGAAAATGTAATCATCCAATTTGCCAAGAAATCAACAGAATCTCCTATAATCTCACTCGGCTGTGCACCATATTCTTTAATATTACCCGATTCTTTGTCTTGAACACGAATCCAAATTTCCATAAGTCTAAAGAAAGATGTTGCTATTCCCAGCTTTTGTCGCATTTGATAATTATTACCACTTTTCCATTCCCATGGAGGAGTGAGTGAATATAATATTTCTCTCACTAAATACCAATTTACAATACAATATGTTTGTGAAAATATTTCATGATAAAGTCCATATGCAGCGAGAGTTTGGTAAATACGCAATGTTTCATGAAAAAAGGTATATCCAACATTCATTTCAAGTTCACTAGAAAATGATGCAGGATTGATCGTGACATATCTCAGAAACGTGTTCATATATTTGTTTATAATTTCTTTACTGATCTTTTTTGAGGATTGACACAATATATGAATTAGCTTAGCAGCTGCCAAGTTCGGATATTTTGAATCATTTGATGAACTATCATTGTTATTTATAGGTGGCCAAGTCAAGCATAAAAACTTTTCATGAATAACATCCAACAACCTATGACATTCAAATATAGTTTTGGCAGTTTTTCGTGAATGGCGTGCAAAGCGAACAAGCATAAGTAAAATTTGTTCACTTGTGACGTAAGGAAGTCTTACTACATCCAAAAGATATAGTAATCTATGAGCAATGTCCATCGAAACAAGTCCCGCAATTAGATCTTTTGACGCAAGTTTAATATGATTCTCTGTTGTATCATCTTCACCCTCACCAATTTCATACGAATTGATCCCAATTCCAAAATATTTTTTTGTTTGTACATCATCTTTTCCTCTAAGAGAAGCAAATTCGTATCCACGATATAATTTACTAGCTTTTTCCCAGAGTTTCTCTTCCTGATAAAATTCTTTAGATCCACCAATAATCCAAGAAGATATAGCATCGATAGCAGCTATAATGACAGTCTCGAATTTATCATCTAATGCCATCCGTAGATAAGTCGGAAGCTTTAATTTGATTGCCCAATCTGTAATTTTTCTACCAGTTTCAATACCATAATAACCTACTCTGACTTTCCTTAATATTCTTCCAATTATATTTAAAGGAATAGTTCTTTGACTTGGAACCATGCTTCTCGTTAGATGAAGCAATTCACCCAGTGTGTAGCCAGCTTGATCAGGTTCAGCTCCGTGATGATGAAGGCCTATATAAGAGGGAACATTAGAGTCCTTATCTATTATCTTTCCATTGAAATCGAATCTATACGATGCTTCAGGAGGATCTAACGGAGTTGTAACGCAAGGATCATCATACTTTTCCTTTTGAGGTTTATAAGAAGACTGAACTTTATCATTTTTGAAGTCAACACCCATCCATTCTAATTTTTCATATTCGATGGGAGTATCAGAATAGAATTTTTCCTTCATTTCAAGTAGCATTGAGTCTTCATTTTTTAATGTTTTAGGACTTTGATCTTGAGGATCTAAAGTTTGATAACTTGATGTCTCATTTAATCTTTGAGCTAAAGTTTTTCCTTTCATTAACTTTTCAGTGAAACCTGGTTTTAGAGATTTTAACAACATTTCTCTAACTTCAGTTATTTCAGCGTCAGTCATATTTTCAATGTACTGAGTAGTTTCCTGATCAATTTCCATATAATCACTTTCAGGAATTTCGGGATCTATATTAGACTTATTTGGTGGTAGTGATTCATTTATTGGTGGTTGTGTATTAAGCTTATTTGATGATTCATTTAGTGGTTGTTGTTTTCTTTGTCTAAATATACTTTGATTATCTCTATGAACAGGTTGTGGAAAACCGTCTTTAGGAGCAGAAGCATTAGAAAACGACGGTGCTACTACTGGTCCATTCGAGATATTTTCAGTAACAGCACGAACAATCCCAGTTGTACTGGAGCGTAGATCCAAAACCTTTTTGCTTACTGGTTTATGTTCTACGGGATTTTCAACTAAATTACTTAATTCATCGTCAAGGTTTATGTCGAATCGTCGAGCGCGAAGCCTCGACATTGTAACAGAGAATATTTGGCAGATAATCTTTTAACTAGACCAATTAAAATTTTCAAACTGCACATGGGAAAACTTTCGATTTACACATGACTATTGACCAATCAAATAAATACAATCTACAAGCATTTACACATTGTATCTTTAGTTTATGCTAACTGCCAGTAACATAATATATAAATATATACAAATTCAAAACTTACATTAAATATCTTATCATCTTTTTTAGTTAAGGCATCTAATACTTATATATATAGTCAAACCTTTTTATAATCACACTCTTCATGATAAAATTTGTATGTTTATAAAAATATTTTTACTAATGCTACAAAGTAGATTTTAGCATAGTATATTATAAAATAGTATTAGTAGTTATATACATTCATTATTGTATTTTATATATTATATTTATTATTAGTTATTAGTTATTAATTAGTCAATAGTTATATTACATAATAAATAGATAAAAGGATCTTAATTGGTTATTAGAAATGTGATACAGTCACATGATATTAAATAACATCTGTAATATTACTATCATCTTACAAACCTTAAATACTTTTGTATAAGTTTCATATATCTTAGCATCAAATTACTATGTCAATTGTTACAGCACAAGAATCCTAAGTATCTTCAATACAAATCCCAAATGTCTTTATATAAACTTCAAATATCTCTGTACAAATCTCAAATATCTTTGTATAGATTCAAGTGCTTAAACACAAGTCTTAAGTATTTTAAACACAAATAACAAATGATATAAACAATATCTTCAATTGCTTCTATACAGTTTTCACTACTCCAAGTATAGTATTATTTAATTTTGTTCAAATTTTCACTATTCTAAATATAATGATATCTAATATTATTCAAACTTCTATTATCTTGAATATAGTATCAAATAATGTTATTCAAATTTTTACTATTTTTGCTAGAAAAAGATATATAAAGAGTATCTTTTCTCTTTTCTTGTCAATTCTAAGTTTTTATATTTCAACTCAAACATAATAATCTTTTAATTATAAAGTGTAATATTTTTCTTTTAAGATAATTCTTATAAGCAAAATTATTATTATGTATTTATTTAATAAAAGTTAATCTATATATTGTTACTATTTCAAACTGTTTGTTTACTACTATATAATAAAGTGAATTACTACACCTTTACCTTGTATATATTTATAATAGTTAATTACTGTACTAGATGATCTTATTACTTATTTGTATTGTACTAAGAAGATTACAACTCTGTAACACTAAGTTGTACTAGGGATATAGTGACTTAGTGAAATAGTCAAGTTGTCAACCTCCTATGTAGTAGGTTGGGTGTTCAAATCTCATCAACAATAAAAATTTGGATAATCACCTATGTAATATTTATATTATAGTAACTGTTACTAATGATTAGGTTAGGATACCTGTAATGATGATCACATCAGCATAATTGACAGGTCATAGAGCATTTGTGTAAGTATGGTATTATATAGAGAAATGCAAACCAACAAATTAGGCAGTGCAAACACTAAATAAGTCTTTGTGGCCATGTAAATCTGTTGAAATTGGATAACAAGAAGTCTATTTGGAAAGATCCAAATAAAGAAGTAGTTGGATCTTTGATGGTTTTACTTTTTTTTTTTTTTTGTATTATAAGCGGCAATCTTGCCTGTTTGTCTTTTATTAAGTAATGTCTAGTTATTAATGAATATATAGTTTATCAATGAAAGTATAACTAGTCACACATATAACTTTAGTTATTATCTAATTAAGGGTTCCATCCAAGAGTTACCCACTAGCTACCATACCTGAAATCCACCTGTGAATCTCCTATTTAAACTTTCTAATTTTCAATCCTATGCATTATAATCTTCCATTACCACATGGGCATACTAGGTTAGGGCTATCTAATTACTATTTATATCAAGATACCATCTCATTGGATGTTACTGAATATCCATAGTCCTTCGAATTTACCTTTGACACAAACTTACTAAGTATAGTACCAAGATTACCTTCTTAGATTTTTATCTGTGTTAGTGTATCCTATATCTACTAAACTGGTTTTGGTGCCAAAGGTGTTCGAGTTTTAGTAAGTCCATTCTTTTTTCATAGTTTTCTTTTATGTTCAGTGTATCACTCGCTAGTACACCTTCTCTCTATTTCTAGTATGTTCACCACTTCTCTCACATCGAGCACCAACTCTCCATATCGAAAAACTTCTTTCTGGGAACTTCCTTATATACGGATCTTCTATTCACATAGACTTAAGCCACAGGGCTTTACATATATTCATATGCTTCTGTAGATTACAGAGTTTTGCCTCTAACTGAAATTGAACTGTCGACCTTGTCTATGGAAGGAGAAGTGCCTAGACCACTAGGCTACAGGATCTTTAATAGCTTTACTGTAAAGACTAGCTTAAGAAAACAGATACCAAGCTCATAGTATCTAGTCATAATAGCAGGACAGACAAGAACCTCTAGGTTGAAAGTCTCAGAGCTACCACCAACTAAGCTGCTAGAACAAATTGAAGAAAAAGGATATTAGGCTGATTCGATATATCAATGAACTGATTATAGTTCTACATGGGTTATCTGAATTAAGAGTTTGGTAAAAAGGCAGATGAAAAGGCAGAAATATACTAAAATACCAAAGTTATGTTGTAAAGTAAATACTGGAGTCTAAGTAAACTCTATAAGAACATAGCAGTTTAATAGTTAGCCCTAATTACAAGTGTTGGTTCTGTCATAGTGATATCTAGATCAGCTATAAAAATGTATACAAAAGGCTCTAAAGGGTTTACCTTGAGAATAAATTAGTCCTAAGGTTAAAATAATGATCTGGGTATCTGGATATGACTCAGTGAATTAATACAGGTTACAGATTCAAAGAGTTTAAAGTAAAACATCCAAGCAGAGATGTTAGGTACAGCAATTGGTAGGAACCTTTGAGCAGACTTCTTAAATAGATAATATAGAAAAGTTACATGTATAGCCAATTGTACTCTCTCTTGTAATAGTTCATTAAATCACAATACCAATAAATGATTAATAAAAGTTAAAAGACTAAAAAGGTTACCTTAATACTAAAAAAAAAAAACACTAAGATGTACTTATAAAGAGATTTTTTTAATATGTTTATATAGACTTCTAGAATCAATAGCATAGCAGTTATGCTCTAAGGTCACAAATCATAAGGTTACCAGTTCAAATTCTAGTAACAGCAATTGTAGAAATGCATTTCTAAATAGAGAACTGCAATACTATAGCATCAAGAACCTGGAATGTCATTAGATAGACTTATTTCTAGAAAAGGCAAGTGACTTGTAATTGAGAAGCCATTCAGTAATCATTAGGAAATTTTTTTTACAGAAATTAATTGATATATAGCATTTAATCGATATATATCATTTAATATATATCGATAAACAGGTTTATTCTCGATATATATTAAATATTAATGCAAATTGATAATAAGATAATAATTGATAAAATACAGTTATCAATTGTCATCAAATCTATTTCAATCATTATAATTTTTGACACATCATTATTAATCGATAAATATATATTACAAAATACACTTTCAAATTTAGAACACTTAAATATCAATATATCCTTTAATATAATATTAAAACATAAGAATGTTCACTAAGTATTTATTCATTTTATTATATCTTGAGATTATATGAACTGTTCTATCTATGCTATCTAATAGTATACAACTATATTGTTTAA